GATAATTTATGAATCATTTATTCGATTTGTCCAAATTATACAAATCTAAATACCTTTGGCTTCTGGAAAATGTGAGGAATTGAAAGAAATGATCCAATAAATGAAAGTGAACTCATTCACTACTAAACTTAACAATGATCTGGGTTATTGTTTCCTGCAGTTTCAGTCCTTTGTAAATCACAGCAGCTCAAGTAATCGTCTTACTCCACATGTGTAATGTCTGACTGGATGAACGGATTGGAAACAGAGGAGTGTTGTGGAGACATCATGGCTCAGTGCTGTGAAATGAACGTCGCCTCACGTTGCATCAGATCCATAATAAGTGAGCTAGCGACTCTCGTGTGGCTATCGCCGGTTAGCCGTTAGCTACAGGGTTGGCTAAGCGTCGCTCACGATCAAAAACACAGTTAATTGAAGCAGTGAAATGAAACACATGAGTTATTTTGAAACACTTACATGGACTCTACAGACCCAGCACGTTTCAGGGGCGCGGAGGTGAACAGCTGCTTCGGTCAGAGAGAAGCTACTCCAGGACCCCAGAGAGCAGATCTGTAGACACTCTGGATGTGAGCCCGTCTGCTGAATCGGGTCCTGCGCTGTCTTTCCATATGTTTTATAAATCGATGCCCAGTGCAGGGAGGCAACTACAAACGCCTGTGTGTAATTACACGAATGAATCCAATACGTGGTGCAAACGAGAAAAACAACGATGAAATTATTATTATTTTTGCTGAAGTCTATTTTTGACTGATTCAATTTTAATTCGTTTTTTTTCAAAACGTCTTTCGCGCACCAACATGTCGCGCTAATGTGACGTCGCGTGTCACGCTCACTCAGCTGTTTCCCTTCGCGGAGGCAGGAAGAGATTTCATGAAAGAATACATCTTTCTTAGTGTTCGTATTTCAGGCTCATGCTGCGGACCTGAGTGTGCAGACTTCCTGTTAAAAGTGAGTACATCCTTCATGGGTGATGCACATGAGATCATTTGTAATAAGGCATTTATATCCATCACTCGACCACAGACTCAGGCTGCGATCAACCACTGTGTTTTAACTATGAAGTATTATCGCTAGTTGATGAAATTACTGCACATCTCAACTATGTGATGTGAATGCTCTCTAATTACAGTGATGGTGTTTATCTGACACTAGCTCGAATGGTTGTATTTGATCTCAGACAACTTCAACACATCTGCAAGCTTTAATTATCCCCATGGATAATATGATAATATAATATACACTTTATTTATCCCATGTCAGGAAAATGTGCTTATTACAGCAGTAATAATAAAGACAACAAGTAGACAAGAGACCACGAGGAAGTATAAGACTGTATCTCCCATCCTCAGTGCATCAAGCCAGCGGCAGGATGAGGCCCCTCAAAGATGCTCAGCTGGGGGCCTTCACCTTCTTTGCCTCTGCTCTACCTCATGATGTCTGTGGGAGCAATGGCCTCCCCCTCACCCCCAACTCCATCAAAATCCTGGGACGCTTTCAGATCCTCAAGACCGTCACTCACCCCAGACTGTGCCAGTATGTGGACATCTCCAGAGGGAAACATGGTATGACTTTATGTCTTTTCTAATCATATTGCGTACAACATCCTTCCATGTCATCACTTGTATTAGTTCATTTTCAGTATTGTTCTTGAAGTGTACTTTCACTAAACTTGTCAGAAACATACACTGAGCTTTTATTTATGCAGCCAAGAGAGACCTGACTTTCTCAGCTTTTTGTGTTATAAGATAAGATGGACTTATATTAATCTATTAATTAATTAAGAAGTTGTTTCAAAGTTACAATAATACATATTTTTTTACTAAAATAAGTGAGGTATGAAAATGTAAAGGTTATAGAGGCATAAGAGAGGACCAGTGCCTAAATATTTGTATTGTGAAGCACTTTGGTCAACCAGGTTGTTTTAAATGTGCTATATAAATAAATTGAAAAATATATATATATATAACAATACAAGAAAGAAAAGTTACATAAATATAAGATATATAAAAGTAAATTAAAAATATTACTTAAATAGGAAATGAAAGATAGTATTAGAGATGACAAATTAGCATGTATTTCACATGATAAGTAAAGTAATATTGTACATGATATTAATATAATACTCTGTTTGGAAGGGAAATTGTACATTAAGTAATAAAGGGAATATTGCACATATAGTACTTGATAGTGAAAAAGAGTTATTTGCACATGATGTTGAGCAGTAATATAATAATGTTAATGGTGAAAGGTATTATGGCACATGGTATTTGTAAACAATGTGATATTAAGTATTGGATGATATCTTCAAAAACACACATCCTAGATATCTAGAAATACATTTGCTTATGTAAGTTTCTCCTTCTTGTTCTATAGAACGACTGATTGTTGTTGCTGAACACTATGAAAGCAGTTTAAGTGATTTCCAAAAACAGAGGAAGACTGTCAGGTGAGATTGTCTTTACAAATCCTGTTGAACCTCCTATTGGTGATAAAGGATGTTGTTTATAATGTGAAGGGACATTGCATACATACACTTTGCAATCTACTGGCTGAACTTAGGTTTGCAGTAACGTACTGTATATTAACAGTTTGTGTGTCCAATCCTTAAATAGTTAAAATGTAGATACATTAATATAGTATATCTACTCTGGCCTAGTAACCACCTGACCCTCAAAAAGCTTTGACACACACTTGTCTTTGTGTGTTAGCCCAGAGAAGGTGCTGCAGATCGCCTTCGAGGTCCTCGAAGGTCTGGAGTTTATGAACAAACACGGTATGGTGCACAGAGCCCTCAGTGCACACAACGTGCTGATGGACTGCAAGGTACCGTTTCCATCCAATTGAGCTGTTTTACGTTTGTCTGAATGTCTCTGCAAGGAAATAGGGCAATTGCCTAAACACTACACTGTCACTCTAAGATCTTTTCTTTGTAGGGGAATGTCAAGCTGGCAAAGTTTGGCCTTTATCACATGACTGATCATGGAGCCGATGTAGATTTTCCCATTGGGTACGTCTTCTTCTCCTCATTTATCACTGAGAATGGTTCATTACTGCTCCTCTGGAACTCTTCAACTGGTTTGACTGAGCTATGCGAGCTGTCGGTTCAGGGTTAAAGGTTCACTTGTATCTGTTTGATGTTCATCAGAGCATGAAAAAAGGGCAAATGGCCATAACACTGAACCATAGTTGCCCATCATTTTTCATAGAAACCAGATTTTAGGGCATCAAAATAGTTTCCTGGTTCAGGAACTGTAACAGATTGTTGGACTTTTATCCTAATCCAAAAGCCTTTGTGTTCCACCAAGTATCTGTGTAATATCCTTCTGCAAATTGAAAAGAGAGAAGATCGCACATGCCCAATGTTTCCAACACAGGACATCTGGATGGAAAATGTCCTGAATGTAACTGTCAAACAGTTGTGTGGATTGTTTTTATGAATAACTGCACATACTTAAACTAATGCCGGAGATATGAACAGCACAGTGAAGATTACTAGAGGAAACTAGGTATCAGAAATAAGTCTTATTCAGAGGCTTAAAAAGTAATGATCTACTCTGTGATCTCGACCTCAGGTACCCATCATACCTTGCACCAGAGGTGATCGCTCAGGGCTCTTTCCACCCCAGTGACCCTTCTCGTGATGAAGCTCCTCTGCCATCAGGACCAAAGACTGATGTCTGGTCTCTTGGAGTGTTGCTTTTTGAATTGTGTGCAGTAAGACTCATTCATACATTACCTTATTCATACACGACTGTTATGCTGTCAAGTTTGTTTTACTTACATTTCATGCTGTGTGGATCAATTTCACCTCAAAGTCTAATGCTGTGAACCTGTTACAGGGCAGACGACTGCTGCAGAATATTGATATAAGCGAGAGACTAAAATTCATTCTAACCTTGGGTAAGTGGGGGGGCATAATTATTTCAAGTACAGAGCAATATGCTCTTACGCTCAATTAGGCTTATGCTGTGGTGTTGTCACTCTCAGGTTGCATGGATGACATTGTCACTGTCCTTGCCGAGGAACATGGTTGCCTGGATACAATTAAGGTAGGTAAAAATGTATAAGTGGTCTGTCAAAGCTCTTTCCGTAGGGTTTTCTGTGTCTCTCTTTATCATGCCTAATAATTATTAGAAATAAAATTGCCACAATTTACAATACAGAATTGCACTGTATTAAAATATATACAGACATTTGCAAATCCTCCCACGGTTTTTTTCCTGGAAACACTTTTTGAGATTATTGAAAGATACAATAGCATCTATTTATATGTGTGTAACTGCAGCCTATTTTCTGCAGGAGCTGCCTGAGGATGTTCTGGAGTTATTAAGGAAATGCTTGACCTTTCTTCCATCCAAAAGGTAAATACACTCTGTGCTGGACATCATATCCTGTCAGAGGACATTGGCCATTTAGTTTCCAAAACACTTTGGTCACGCATGTTATGAAGCAGTCTGCACCATGTGCGTCAGAGAGGATTCAGGCAACGAGTGAAATGATCCCAAAACAAACAGATTCAAGTTATTGGCTGAAACTGTGACAAATGGCTTTCAGGACCTTGAGTGAATAAAGGTTTAGGAAAAAAATTTATCAGGTTTTTACAAAACTACACCTGAAAGGTACAGTTGGTGTTCTCTGATAGTTTGATTTTATGACCATGACTACTTTGTGTGTATCCGGCAGGCCAACCCCTGCAGAGCTTCTGGTAGACCCTGTGTTTGCTGGGGTATCATGCCTTTATACGCCCTTTCAGAAGCCTGTCAGCCTCTTCTCCTCCTCCCTTCGCTGTGCACATCTGGAGCTCCCGGAGGACATCAGTGACCTTTGCAAAGGTCTGTGCCAAATACATCCAACTCTACAGGGCAGCAACATGCACACTGGTCACCTCAAACATACAGTTTCTTAAAGCTGGGTTACCATGAAGCAGCTTTGATTAATACTGCCAAAATCATTCAGCTGCTGTTACACGTTACAGCGCCTCCTGTGTGTGTGGGGAGGTGTTTACAGTTTTGTGTGCGTGCTGTTAGATGACGATGACGACTACCTGTCAGAGCGGGCCATAGACGAGGTTTATCATCTGTGGTGTCTGGCTGGAGGAGACCTGGAGAAGGAGCTGACCAATAAGGAGATCATACAGTCCAAACCTCCAATCTGCACACTGCCCAAGTACATCTCACACACACACACACATACACATAGACGTACGTTCTAGTTAATTTCATACCGAGATGGTAAAATGTATCTTCATTTCTCTGTTCCAGTTTTGTTCTGGAAGACGGCGAGTCATTTGGTCAGGGCAGGGATCGGAGTTTCTTGCTGGACGACACGACAGTGACACTCTCTCTGTGCCAACTCAGAAATGTACGATGAAAAAACGTGTACATGTCTAATATTGTGTAAATTAAGGTATCGTGTATATATATGAATTCATTCTCTGCATCCACTATTGAGTCTTGAAGCTACTTATAGAAGAAAGCACAGGATTGATTTACTGATTGGTAGATTGAGAGACAATAATCTATCATTTCAGTGATTTCTCCATTTGATTTCAAACATTTGACTTTTAAAGATGTCACCATGGAAACCATTGACATTTGTTATTGTTTTCTGATGTTAATTGCCCCCCAAAAATACCTCATGAATAGATTAATCAAGAGAGGTTTCTTTCATCACTGTCCAAAACCCAATAATCAAATTAGAATTCTCCTCATTTCTTAGCAAAACATTGTTACAAAGGGAAAATTCTACCTCATTAACAAAGTACTCATTGGTATTGGTGTTTGTGAACATAGCATTTGTATTTTTAAGATGAGCCTCTCTGTCTTATCCAGAGACTAAAGGATGTGGCAGGAGAAGCCTATTACCCTCTGCTGGAAGACGAGTAAGCAATTTCCATCCTGAACCGCACGTTGACATCCTCTCTTCCCCCTGTCACCAGTTTTCATGCCGGCCGATCATTTGTTTTGACTCGGGTAATGTCATATTCCCTTCACTTCTCTCTCCCTCAGACAGTCGAGCCTGCCCCAGTCCAACAGCAGCAATGAGCTGTCGACCACCGTCACGCTGCCACTCATCATCCGCGAGAGAGACACCGAGTACCAACTCATCCGCATCATCCTCTTTGACAGGCTGCTCAAGGTCAGGACTCCACACAAATTCACGCATGCACACATGCACACACTTGAAGACGCAAATGTGTAAGAGACACATGCGATGAGTCACACATGAGAAATGTTACTCTAATTGGACAATAAACTAAAAGTGGCAGAACCCGGTGCTTGTTTTAACTCAAATCATATTTCCTGTATTCATAATGATTATTATTTAAACTGTAGACTGTATATGAAGATGGACGATGCGTCTCCACTTCCTCCAGTTGTGCAGAAATGAAGTTAAAATACCCCAGATGCAGGTGCCACTATCCTTTTACGGAATTTGGACCCAGAGTCCGCACAGTAGTGGTGTGGTTTGGAGCCACAGTATCTAGGTCCTGCCAATACATGAACTCGACCAATCAGGAGTCAGTCTCAGCTGTCAATCATGACATTCAAGCCTATTTATATAGTATATAGTATTCATCATCTTAAGTCTCCTTTATACCAGATTTAGGGTGTATACACTAGTAAACCCATTAAAAAGGTGATAATTCTTTTCCTATTGCCACTAGAGGAGTTTGTCTTTCTGTTTTTTTCCCAATTGCGTCATATTCAGAGTCACACACATATCTGCTACTGAAAACCGAGCAGCTCTCTAACCTCACTGTCTTGCCAAATTAGCACATTCAACCGTGTGTCATGTTTCCATCACTGCCATTAAAAACCTTTGTCTACTGCAGAGTCATTTGACCTCAAGTGAACTCCCATTATATTCATTCCCTTTGTGGACAAAAGTCAAATGTTAGCAGGTTTTTCAAATGTGGAAAAGGGGCTTACATACCTCACATAAAGAAATCATCTTTAAAAAACATTATTTTAGGTGTACTTCTATTGTTTAGTTTGGTTCATGTCACAACCGCTAACATAAAGAAGCTGGGGTTTCTGACATATACTGCATCCATCCACTAGGGGTGATCACGATGGTTTGGCTTCACTTTCGGGGACCTGCCGTGTCACCCACCTTCATATACAGCCTACAGTCCAACCTGATCATTGTTGAATGAAAAGCCAAGTGACAATTTCTTTGTTTTGTCATCAGGCCTATCCTTACAAGAAGAACTTGGTGTGGAGAGAGGCCAGAGTAGATATTCCCCCTCTGGTTCGAGGATTGGCGTGGGCTGCACTGCTGGGCATTGAGGTAGAAGATTATACTTATATACTTATAACTTGAGATAGTGAATGGTTTTAACTTTCTTTTATGTGGACATTCATCCTAATTGTTTTCACACAGGGAGATATTCAAGCCAAATACGATACTATAGACAAGGATACTCCCATTCCTACTGACAGACAGGTAACTACTTTCTTTTTAGACACCTATTTTCAGGGGGGAACAATTCTTTTAAATTGACATTTCCATCTTAACATTTGGTCTGTTTGTGGGTTCTTGATGCAGATTGAGGTGGACATCCCACGCTGCCACCAGTATGACGAGCTGCTGTCATCTCCTCAGGGTCACATCAAGTTCAGACGCGTGTTGAAAGCCTGGGTGGTTTCCCACCCTGACCTGGTCTACTGGCAGGGTCAGTGTCTCTCCTGTCAAATCTCTTTCATCTGTCTCGTTCTCCTTTCTCCTATATGTCCCTCTCTCTCTGTTCCATTTGTTCAGTTCTTAACTGTGCTTAATGGGACTGAACACTAGGGGGTGCTCATGTCCCATCCTGTAAACTCCTCACCCTGTTGATCAGGTGCATCTATGTTGCTGGACATCTAGCAACTGTTCTGATTTTCTTTTCATTTCAGGTCTGGATTCTCTTTGTGCTCCATTTCTTTACTTGAATTTCAACAATGAAGGTAAAACAATGTTAAATACTGCAGCTTACTTCTGGTTTTGCTTATTGTTCTTTAACTCTGCCTTCATGATCATGCCACATTCTTCACAGCCCTGGCGTATGCCTGCATGTCTGCCTTCATCCCCAAATACTTGTACAACTTTTTCCTGAAGGACAACTCTCATGTTATTCAAGGTGAGCTATATGCGACTTGTGAGTGGGTAAGGGTTAAGTCACAGTAGCCGTTTTCAGACATGGACTCCAGAAAATGTCCAGAAAATTGTCTTCCACATATGAAGCAGGAGATTATCCAGGACAGACGTGATCACTACAACAGGGAAATGTCTGAAATATTCAATTGAGGGTCGCACCATGGTATAGCAGCAGGACGCCGGACCCGATATTATTCATTGTCCCTGTAGGTGAATTGGTTTGCAGAAATAATCACAGGGCATTTTTCACAAATCAGCATAACAACAATCATCAACAAGACATAGCCAACACACAGCTCTAGAGTGACAGAGGTAGACGTTTGATCCAGACCAGCGAGTCATTTTTATCTGTGTGCATGTTTAACATATTTACATCTTGTGGAATAAAGGACATTTTCAATCAGTTTTTCTGGTTAATAAAGGGGGGGATATTAATAACGTAAAATTCCACAGTTTGAAATCACATGTTTTTGTTCAGAGCACATCAACACCGTCACTGGCCCTGATCACCAAAAGCGCTCGAATCTCGTTGTCTTTCCAAGTTGACATCTTGGTCAGCGTTTTTGTTTTTTACGTGAATGACACCTCTTTTTCATCCCGAGACATTTATATTCTTTCAGGCTTTGCGTCTGTCGCGTTTGAGAAGTGTCATTAACATGTAAACTCACTCACTGTTAATTTTCGGCAATTCTCACATGTGCTGACTCAGGAATTCTATCAGGGGGCTGTCAAGAAAAGGTTCAGGAAATGTGCAGAGCAACACACTCAGACAGTTGCGTTCGCATATACAGCCCCTCCTGAAAATTTCAGTTCAGTGTCTGGAGTTAAATGTCTCACAGTTCTGTGATCTCAACAGCATTTTTTATGTTTCTCCTGATTGTAATATAATTTACACACTCTGCTTCCCTCTTCCATATCACTTCTTTCCACTTCAGACGTCCAGTGTTGTTGAGCTAATGCATTCGACTGCCACCGAGAGTTAAGTAATAAGTATTAAAAACAAATTAACATCTGCAGACACCGAGCATCAGGCCGTCAGCTCACTGTTGATTAAATTTTGCCTCCATGTTGTTTCAAAGCTGCGAAAACTAATTTCAATCTGATTTAATGGAGTTTGCAGCTGAGCCACATCATTTAGAGATGGGGAAACAAATGAAACTGCAAAAGCCTGCAGAGAAATGTCAAAAGCAATTCCTACGTGACTGATAAACAGCCACGCCAAACACCTCTTGAAATCTGTGGGGAATGTGGCTATTATCATTTCTTCCCACTGCTTAGATGCCCTGGAGAGCTCGCTAATGTTTATCTGTCTGGTCAGAGCTCTTTTGTTGACTAACAGTGTGAGGAATGGCATTAGCACGGCATTAAGCTGCACGAGTTTCCTTCTGACATGTACAGTAGTTGGTTTCCAAGGTTGCACAGTGGATCAGGAGTCCTCTACCTGCAGCGTTTCAGTCATAAAATGTCCAATTTAAAAGTGCACATCTCATCACGTGCTGGTTTATGAAGGGAAGGGTTTCTGGAACACTTGTCATTTTATCTTTTATTGTATATCTTTTATCTACCTATATGTTCACACCGGGGATCAGAGAGAACGGAGTTTGGATGAGGGGGAGGGATTTATCGTTCCTTTTTTTCAAAGCCTTTCCAGGTTTTCAATCCTAAAGCAACACTTTGTAACTTTTAATGAGCAACAGCACCCTCTGCAGCCACAAGTGGTGAGTAATTCTGTGAGCGAATTAGTGGTACAAATACAAATACAATGTCTATCAATGTGTTGACTGCGTAGTCCCACTCATTGAACTGAAACACAACTTAATGGTGGCTATTACCCATGATTCCCAGCTTCCTGAACCAGAGGAGATCCCACTGTTACAAATACACTATACTCTCTTCAGAATTCTTGATATTTAAAAGTTTCCTGGGTGAATATTGGAGATTAAAGCTGGTTTTCAATTACTTCTAAGTCTGTTTAACTGGCTACAGTTCAGCGTTACTCTTGAACCTGCTTGACCTGATTATAGTTACACGCTTCTCACAGGAGATTGTACCTGAGTAAGAACAGTGGCACCATTCTCCTTATTTCCTTATGGACAAGTGAACCATCAAACTAATTCTGCCCAGTAGATTTCATTTTGTCCCTTTTGCCCTTTTGCCTGATTCAGAGTACCTGACGGTCTTCTCCCAAATGATTGCCTTCCATGACCCCGAACTCAGCAACCATCTAAATGAGATTGGCTTCATTCCAGATGTAAGTAATCAAGAGTGCACGTGCCCTGTCCCACTGACAACAATAGACATTAGTGGAGGACACAGTCGGGCATCACGTCTTTTATTGCAAGTTAACCTTTAATGGGAACTCAGAGTTGGCTGGGAATTGTTCCAGTTTCTTGCTCCGCACCAATGGCAAAGTAAATGCCCATCCATAGATCACTGTGTATATCTTTCATTGTCATTGACATTTTTTTGTTCCACACACTCCTGTCCAGAATCTTTGGACAGGGTCAAGTTCTCCCTATAGTCCAGCAGTGATGATTTATACAACGACTAATGTCTGCCAGGCACACTTAATGATTGTCCTCTGCCACACTGACCGTATTTTTCTTACTCTGTGCCTCCTCTTGCTGCCCTTCGCTTTCCCTCTCACAGCTCTGCTCTGACAGCGACAAGGTTAAAGTCTCCACTGTCTCTCTCGGGTTTCAGTTAGTGTGCTGATGAATGTGTGTCGGCCGTCGACCGGCTTCTGGGATATCATCCAATGAAAAGTGGGGTCTTTATCGCTGAGGAGTCAGGGATTTAACCCTCCTGCTGCTCACAGTTTCTAATGCTGCAGCTCCTTTTTCTGAAGTGGTGCCTGTGATGCACAAAACTGCTCATCTGTAATAATTAAAACTGCTTAAAAAAAGATATTTAGATACGTGCTTGTTGCTAAAATGTCTATATATCCTACGTTGGTCTTCAGGGTAAATCATGGTCCTATGATGCTGACTTGACACTTGCTGGTCGTACAAAACAACCAGGAAAGGAAACGTCTTATGCCTGCTTTCATTGTTAGGCTAGGATAATATTGGAACAAGCTTTGTTGACACAGCTTTCAAGCTTGATGTCAATCCCAGTAATTAAACTTTACAGACCTTTAATCTCCCTTTTCCTCTGTGAACTTCAGAGAGCACCCTGAACTGTTGTTTCACCGAGGCAATACAATCTGTCTGCCCTAAAAGATCAAATATCTCTGCAGTATTAAATGGATTTTCAATTCACATGTATGCATATCAAAACATGGCAAGCTTGATATATTTTGTCTATTCAGAAAGATCTTATACAAGCAGGTCTTATACAAGGAAGAAGTAATCAGGCAGAAATGTTGTGGCGTTCAAGGTCTGCGCTCCAGTGATGCCACAGGCACAGTCAGATTGGATGTAGCCAGTGGTCTAATTCAGGCCATTTTCAATTTGGCCGCTTCTCCTCTCCTGGGTCTGCCATTTACACCTACACTAATCCAATCTGGCCGGACTCGCAGTGCTGCTGCACAGCTGTTAAGATTGAGGCTGGAACTTGGGAGTGCGGTGGCTTCCTCTCCTGCTCATCACTCCTGGCCGCAGAGGAGGTTGTCTGAACAGTCCCCAGCTTCCCTGCAATTAGCTGTCAGTTAAGTGGCTGAGAGAAGCTGCAGATATATCTTCTCCAGACCTTTTTGCTGCTGAGTGTTACAGAGCCACAGCGGCAGTAACCATCAATTGCCAGGTGTTGGAGCAGGTGGTTATTGATGGAGTGCGTGTGTGTGTGTGTGTGTGTGTGTGTGTGTGTGTGTTCGTGTGTGGTCTTTGCATGTCCTCCTGGGTAAGAGTGGAATGGAGAGGACAAGAGGAAGGAGGGATGACGAGATTGACACAATAAAATTCATTGTTTGTTTCCTCCCCATTGACTGATAACTGAAGCTGTTTCCTCTTTATTGCTGTTTCTGTGTCTGACAAATCGATTATTAAACACAATCTTTATTCTTTATTTCCTCTTTTCCGTGCAGCTTTATGCGATTCCATGGTTCCTGACGATGTTTACACGTAAGTAGCTTCTCCTTGTTCTCACAGTGTGGATGCACTGCAGCACGGATCCCAAACTTTTCAGAGGGTATTTTGAGTTAGAGTAACGATAAAAGAGGCTGAAAAGGTCATCTGCTCCAGTGTAGACACGTTCTGTCTTTGTGTGTTTTTTTTCTCATGGTGACCTTTATTTCGGCCGCTAATTATTTCTATTCCTGAAGGCAAAAGACTCAAACACTCAGTCCTCAGATTTTTTACCAGCTCATCTTTATTTATCTGAAATTTTTATTCATGTGAATAAAAAAAATCACTTCATCAAGATGCAGCTGCAAACATCCAACAAAATACTAAGTTAGAAACGACTCACTAAGTTTTCTAAAACGTCCAAATGCATCATAAGGTCTACATCATAGACTGTATAAAGATGGACGACATGATTGTGAAGCCAAAGGGTCTCGATCACCCCCTGGTTGCTGGCTGCAGTATAAAATTTATACCTCCTCAATTTTAGCAGATGGGACATTGACCATAGTAAAAAGTCAAAGTGCATGTCACATAAATATTTCTCATAGATGGTTTATGGATTTTTAGGTAGTTCTTATCACACTGACTATTGTCTCAGTAAATTTGAATGCAGTAAAACGGGGGGGAACCATCATGATTTACAGTTTAAATCGTGTATCGGTGGGACCTTGCTACCACAGCTCAGTCCCCTGATCACTGCTGTGCAGACTCCAAATGACTCTGGCCCCAAATGTGCAAGATGGCAGTATTTGTTTCCCGGATATTTTGGCTTCATTTCTGGACCGTGGGAGGAAGTTGAGACACATCGTTCATCTTTATTTATAGTCTATGGTCTGTGTCAGTGGATTATCTGCTCAGTTCTGCACAGTTAATCAGTTAACAGGATACATGAGAAATGAGACAATGACACATTCATGTTCAGAGTAAATAGTTGGATGTATTTTCAATTATGAGTCTTTAAAACCAGAAACAGAAAAATATTGAAGTAATTAGATAATTCTGAATTACTTATATGTAGAAACAGTATGGTCATCTAATAATAACACCAAGATTAAAGTACTTCCCAGAAGTATTTAAAACTGTAAGATAAGCTCTCACAAATGGATGCTGGACATTATACGTATTTAAATTTTTCAGAATCAGAATCTGGTTTTATTGCCAAGCAGGTTTACACATACCAGGAATCCGCTGTGGTGTATTTGTTTAAGTATAAAAAAATAAAAAAATGTATATGAAAAATACTATAAGCACCAGGGGAGGGATGGTGCAATACTAGAGACAGACTAGAAAGCAGAAGAGACTTGATTGTGCAAACTACAGTTTTTCCAGTATTTGCCAAGGGAAGTAAAAGTGTCAAACTGTCGCAGACAGGACCATGCCTTGTTGATGATGCCCAGACAATGTTTTGTTATGCAAGAAAATGACTGATCTAAGTCTCATGTCTCTGTGACTCTGTGACTAAACAGATCTGTACAGGCGTATCATAGTGCTCCCTATGGACCAGTCTGTGACATTCTCTGCATCTAAGTAGTGACTCAGACTGTCAATGTGGAACAACACCCAAATGTGGTTAAGATAGTTTTGAAATACAGTGTAGAAATCATAGTAGGTGTACATTACATTACATTACCGACACTTATATCCACAGCGACTTACAATAAGTGCATTCAACATTCTTGCAGGACACAATCCTTCTGTTTCTGTGCAGAATGTAGAATTTGCCTTTTGAAAATGTATTTTAATTTTTTTGGGTCGAACTATTTGATTAAATTTGCCAGGTGGGATTCATGTGGTTGCTGATTTCTGTGTAGTTTTTGAAAACTCTTCAATCAGAAAGATTTCCAGGCCTTTGTACTTGGTTCTATATACAAAGAAATATTACAGATTCCAGCTGTAATTGCAGGTATCAAGAAACATGTATTAGTCCAGAGCCCACTTTCTGTGCTGCATGAGAGATTTAAGTCTTGGCTGGTGCACTTTGGCAGCTGATGGCAGCATTAAGCTTTTATCTCTCCGCTGAGCTCTGAAATATGAGCATATTAAAAGGGGTCACAGATCATTGTAGCAAATTAAATAATATGCAATTAACCTCTATGGTGCAGCCCCCATCACAAGTGTTTGAATAACTTTTTGCCTTCTTGATATCATTTTGGAAAGATTCATTAGGACTTTGCCGTATTCTGCAGACTCTAATAGAAAACTCGTGTGATCTATATTAAACAGAGCCAACTTACTCTTCAAGTACTCCTTCTATTGATTTATCTGAACCTTGCACTTTGCAGATCATTTTCATTCTTTAGTTTAACACACACACACACACACACACACACACACACAGACCACTCCCAGGGTATAGGGTGTGAGGTGTGACCCTTTTACCCCTTATCCTCCCCCTGAGGCAGTGTGTGAGTCCAGTATTCAGGAGGTGCATCTCTCTGACTGCTAATGTCTCCAATCCAATATGAGACAAGGTTGGAGGGTCATCTTCCATTCACATATA